ATCTTAATACAATTCTGGGCCATTTACAACAATAAAAAATATAAAAATCAAAAAATCATTAACAAAAACTAAAAACCTGATACCTCCTAGGGTACCTCAACAACTCTCCACAGGCTCTACCATTGTACCCCAGTGCCTGGGTAAAGAGCTGGATCTTAATGGTCTTCTGGATGGCTAAGAGAGTGGGGCCTGGTGGAATGGGGGGGAGGGTCCATAAAGTAGAGGCAGCCATGAAAAAGGCAAGCTTCCTAGATCCCAGTAGATGGAATCCAATTTATCAGCTAATTAGAAACCATCATACTTTATCTTTTATAATCATTGACCGAAAAGAAAGCTGCAGCCAAATAGCTTTAAAGGAGGTTTATGTAATAATCAGAAAATGGAGTGGGTAGAGTATGGAAGTCCTTTTGATAGTTTTGGGATTTGCTGGCAGTTTACATGTATTAAAAAAAAACATGCATCCATCCACCCACCTAGTTACCTACCTTACATCTAGCTCTCTGTCTCTATCTATCTATCTATCTATCTATCTATCTATCTATCTATCTATCTATCTATCTATCTATCTATCTATCTATCTATCTATCTATCTATCTATCTACCTATCTACCTACCTACCTACCTACCTACCTTATACCTAACACTATGCAAGTGCATGCACACACTTTAATAACTGCATTATTTCACATTTTTTTCTTAAACAGATATTTCAGATTTTTACATAGAAATAAACATTAGGGTACTACACCCCCACCAAGACTGGCAGGGCAAGCTACTGTAGCTAAACAGGGAGCAAACCCCACACTCACTTGCACTGATGTTACCTGGTCAAGTAACGAAACACCTGCAAGCAAACAACCAAGTTCAGACAGCACCAAGGATTCCACAAAGAGAACTGTCTTCAGAGATTCAAGTACTTTTATCGTTGACACATCACCTTTCATGCCCTAAATATAAAGCTGTATAATTATGAAATTATTTTAAAATTTGGTTAAATATTTGCTACATTTTAAAATGTGCCAAGACTTGTATCCACCTAACAAATCTGAAAGGCACATCTCTCACAAATTTAAAAAGGATGCCCCTCTCATTTGACCCCAATAGTTACGTGCCATAAGCCTGTCTTGTTAAAAACAGAAAGCTATTCTCTATTCATGTGCTTAACTGGTCAGAACCAAACTGTTTGGTAATTCACTAAATGGCAAGTACTTCTTAATTTACTACTTAATTGACAAATTCCATTTTATTTAAGGTACATGCTAAATTGAAAAATGTTCCATTTTTCTCCTATGTGGATAGAGAATAGAAGGTGGACAAGGCCAATACTATTTTTTCCAGTGTATTGGAAAAGATTGATATACTGCTGAAAGTTTTACCCCCAGTAGTGAACTGTTAGCTAGAATTTTAAAGGTTCTATTTTTAAATTACAGCAGAAAGCACAAAGGCAATAAGAATGCCAAGTTGGGGATGGGGAAAATCACAGCTGGAAAAACCATTGCAAACACACTACCTTATAAGAGAACTATTATAATATAAAAAAAGTAAAGATATCAGCATTATTCCAGGAAGAAAAACACAAAATCCACAAGCAGACAGTATGTTTATTGGGATCATCCAAAATGCCACAAGTAAAGAATGAACACAATAATAGCCAAAAGCTGAACTGTGAATCTGAAAGTCCTAGTTGACAGCTTAAAACTTGCCTTTGGCAACACTTTCCTGGGTTTCATCTAATCCCTTACATCATAGCACACCTTTCTCTTACTTTCATTCCAGCAATTAACATGAAATATATGAAGTATAACATGCCAGATTAAATAAAATTTGTGAATGGCTCGTGGTATCTGTATCACACTCTCAAAAATTATTATTATGGCATGTCCACTAACATTTTTATACCATTTGTTCTTCACTGAAGACAAAAAAAAAAATAAAATCTCTGGGTCCCAAATCTTTATGAGCATGTATATATTTACAATAGATTTTTCACTGATCAGAAACTATCTGGGCAACCTTTGAAAGTTAAGAGAATGAAGGAGCTCCCTAGAATTATATTTATTCAGAAAAAGTCTTCCTTATATAGGTAACAAATCCAGTTTATTTTCACCAAGCTAGCACAGAAATGGATGGTGACATATCTCAAAGACAGAATAATCAGTGAAACTCCTACAGTTTTCTCACCCAATCATAAGACTCCCTTTGTATATTTTCATGTGTTATATTTACTAGCAATATTCATGGCTTTTGCACTGTTAAGTTTCATTCATTAAAAAAAACTATCACTGACAGATTAAATTCATTAATCCTTGTATTAATTCTATATATATTTTTGTCCACTGTGGCAGAGTGGCCAAAGGGGCAAAGATGGGGGAGAGGGGACAGAGATAAACACCCATCATCAAGGCTGGTGCGCCTCCTCGGCAGCAGGACGAAGCTGGTGAAAGTTAGCTGGGGGTAGCAGAGTAGATGGAGGAGTGAAGGGCAACCAAAAGGGCAGAAAAAAGGGGGGGAGATAGGTGGATGGGGGGAGTTGAAGCGCACACTGCAGTTGTAAACATGGGTGGGCTGCCAAGTACCTGAATTCTGACCATATGACCCTGGGGCAGTTGCAATGGTCGTAACTTTGAGGACCGGTCATAACTTATCATTTGTTCAGCACTGTTGTAACTTTGAATTGTCGCTGACTGACCTTAAGTGAAGGCTATTGGAGAACAAATCTAAACCAGGGGTAGGCAACCTTGGCTCTTTTATGACTCGTGGACTTCAACTCTCAGAATTCCTGAGCCAGCATGGCTGGCTCAGGAATTCTGGGAGTTGAAGTCCACGAGTCATAAAAGAGCCAAGGTTGCCTACCCCTGATCTAAACCTAAACACAGATTAAAAGGCAAACCTTTCTGGGAAAAATGAATTTTTCAGATATGTCACTATTATTAAAAGTTCCTTTCCGCCACTGTTTGCAAAGAAGAGCTGCAGAGGATCATCTCAATATCTGAGCAGTTTTGACTGTTCGTGTTTCATTATATACTTTCAAATATACACATGCAATATGAACATGTTCTACAGAATCAGCATTATGTAATGAAATATCCCTGCCGCTCAGAATGAGAATGAGCAATAATTTTAAAGGAGGAGTGTAGGGTAACACTATTAATACTATAGAGTTCAGTGTTTCTCAGCCTTATCAACTTTAAGATATGTAGAGGTCAACTCCTAGAATGCTGACTGGGGCATTCTGGAAATTGAAGTCCACAGATTTTAAAGTTGCTGAGAAACACTGCTAAAGTCATTCACTTAACATTTCATTTGCCTCTTGACACAAAAACATTAGGAAATTTTAAAGAACAATTAAACTGATTTTTGCAGTCTTAACAAGAATCAACGGACTACAACGAAAAGGCTTCTGATACTATATCTATATTTCTTTTGCAGTTTTGAGTAGGTTAATTAAGTAGATTCCCTCATCACATATTTAAAAAAACCTTTTTGATAAACAAAGATTAGTTAACAGTTTTTAATATTTTTAATTTCTAAGCACTAAAGATAGTGGAATATATTAGCTAATGCCTTGATTCACTGGCACTATGAAAACTAAACCCTTTTGAGCCAAATTAGGTCTTGTTGAAAGAAAACTTCTATAGTTTGTTTTATTTAATTGGTACATGTTCTGCGTTGACAACAAGGGCTAAACTAAAACAAAAGGAAAACAGAAAACACTGAAGCATGTCCAAATGTGATTTTTAAAAAACTTAAATAGCTGCACAAAAAGATGCTATTTTAACCCCTTGTCCAAATGCAATCCCCCACTCTATATTACTCCTATGAAAAAAGGTTTTTTTAACCATAAAAAAGTAAACACGGTATTTAATAAAACAAAACAAATCAGCAAATTGAATGCAAAAGTATCCAAAAACTTGGATTAAAAATGTTTATATTTTAACTTAAATAAACCAGTCAATTCTGATCAGCTTGAAAATAAAAACCCTTTTCAGGATCTTTTTAGAATAACAGCTTAAATGCTGGTACAGCTAATGCTCAACTTTTCTAGAATGTAAATAAGGACATTTCTTTATTCTAAAAAAATATACCTTAATAGAAATCAAGAAGATTAAGAAACCAGTATATCTTCTATAGCTCAATACCTTATTAACTTAAAAGTCTGATTCCATAAAATGAAAAGAAATAGGAAAAAGCTGGATTCACAATATTTAAAAAGTCATTGTTTAATTAAGGTTTATTGAACAAGTCACAATGTCTGCTTCCATACATAACATAAATACAAGCTCTGATTTTAAGAACACAGTAACGAATTCACACAACATGCCAAGCTAAAACAAAAACTCATTACAGCTTAGCTTGAAGAGTGAATCCAGCAAGACAGTGATGTCAGGATGAGCACCCAAAGTTGGCATACTATACAGTCCCATCACTTGGCAAGTATTTCACATACTGAAACCTATTTTTCATTCTTTTAAGAGATCACCAGAAACGTGAGAGAAGAAGATAGACTACAGGTCGTCCTCAAATTTACAACCACAATCCAGCCAAATTTTATTAGTTGTTGTGATTGTTAAGTGGGTCACCAAGTGACCTAATTTTACAACCATTTTTACTCTGGTCATAAAGCAAGTTACCATGATCATTAAGTGAACCAAATGGTTGCTAAGGGAGTTCAGTATATCTACTGGCCATATTTTGCTGGAAAAGACAAAAAAAGTTGCAAATCATGGTCATGTGACTGCAGGATGCTGCAACTGGTTGTAAATGTGAACTAGTTGCTAAACACCTGAAATGTGATGATGAGACTGCAAGGGCCAGTTGTGTACGTAGCATTTTAAAGTCCATCGTAAGTTTGAATGGTCATTAAATGGCCAGTCATAAGTCAAGGGCTACCTGTAATGTCTACTTACAAGACAAACAATTAAGTAATACAAAGCCACTCAAGCTGGCTGCTTGTCACTTGAAAAAGGTAATAATTGGCTCTATAAATCATAGATACTTACTGAAAGTTTTGCAGATGTCAGATACTGCTTTAAAGACTCTGTCAGAAAAGTTCACTTTCACTTTTACATACTTCATGTTGGGAAGCTGGAGTCGGAGCAGTTTGTGTTGAGGAGTGAACTGTAACTTTGCATCAGCCTGTATTCCATACTTATCTAAAGTCCAGTGTGTTTTAAGGAGCCAGGTTTTCTTCTTTTCCCACCATAAGGCATGGTCAGACCAATCTTTCTTGACATCTAGGAGCACAAATATACACAGTTAGGAAATTAAAGAGAAATGGTGAGCAACTTATTCACAGTGCTTGGACAAAATGTGTTTTGTATATTTTATATAAAATAACAATGATTTTTATTTCATGTATTTATTCACCCAGTCAGTTATTCTTGCAAAAGACAAGAGTGAAATAAGGATCATTCAACGTCTGAAAATTTAGTTAACATCAATTTATTTTTCACACCTAACACATGACAGCTGCTGGCAGAAAATGGCCAATCTTGACAAGACTAAGAAACCAAGCAGGATCAAATCTGTGGTATCTGACACACCACCAGGAATGGCCAAGAGGTAAAGATAAAAATCCCCTCAAGTCAAGCTAAATTTCTCATTCCATGTTACTTGATCATATTTTCAGCCACAGTGAAAAAAAAAGTACTTTTGGTATTTTGATAATTCCATATGCTAGGGATATAGCCAAAGAGGATATGTGCATTAATACGCATAACAAGTTATTAACAATTTAGATAACTTTAGCACAAAATAAGCTGAGTCCAAATTGTGTAAGTTAATGTTCCAACATCTGCATTGCATCTCCAGCTACTATTAATAATTCCCTGATGTGTCCCAATAGCAATTGTTCCTCCAACTGGAGAATATTTCAGAATTGAGGCATTGCTGCAGAAATGGTTCTTTTCTTTCCCACCGGATATAAACGTTCCAATAAATAAAGCTAAAAGCCCAATTACATAAAATGCTTTCTGGAAAAGAAAGGTCCACTAGAAATCCTGAAGAAAATTAGTATAATTCAGATACAATAGGATTTCATAAATACAGGACCAGAGAATTCAATGCCTTTCCTACCTCCCAGATAACTGATCTTATGTGATGAAGTAAATAGGATATTTGAAATTAATCTTTGTGCAAGTAAAGGCAGCATTTTGGATAAGCTTTATATGACTTCTGATTTATGATTAAGTTTTGCTGTTCAAAGCATAATGGCAATTACATAAAATGCTTGCAATTAATAATGTATGCCACACTGCCAGGACCTTATAAATCTCAGGTAAATTATACAAAGAATATCAGAAAATTCAGATTTTTTTATTCTCTTCCTCTCCCTCAAAATACAGGACATTTCTTTAGATATCATGTAGACTTGGGCAACCCAGAAAACATACAGAAGTACTATATTGTTAACTCATAATCTCTAAATTTTTGAAAAGCTCAAGTGGACAGAGAGATGAAAGGTACAGTTGAATTCAGAGTCATCCTACATGGGGTCATAAATATCCACATCATTCTTTAAAAACAAAAAAAGGGAATAATCTTGGCTTAGGTAACATAGCTGGAAAAGAGCAGCAGCAGCCATAATTCTCAACAGCATGGCATTCTATCGTCAAATTAAACAAAGCCAAATATAGAAAAGCATGCAGCATGCAGTCAGACTTGGCTGCTCTCAAAGAAATCTGTCAAGTGATTATGGTGAACTCTGGTCCAAACGTTTGCTTCTCTAAAACATGTCAAGAGTAAGGGAATGATTTCAGCACTGAAAGATGTTGTTTATGAGCTCTCAAGAAGTAGAAGTTTAGATTTAAATGTGGGTTATAAATTTAAAAGTCACTGGCTTTCTTATCAGCCTACTGGGCTACAATTAATATTAAAAGATTTATCTTTTTTTTTTACATTGGCTTTTGACAATTTAGGCATACAACAACCTATTAGAGATAAAGGACAGATCTTCTTTCATCCAGGTTTAAGAAACTGAGAGCATCCTGCATGATATTCTTCCTACCTATCGTATGCAGTGTTTGGATTCTTCACTTGGGAAGGGGGGTGGAGGAGGTCTTAATATGGATTATTTATTTTATAGCTATCCAATGCTGTGAAGACATCAAACCAAGAAAAAAATTGGAAACTGAACCTGGTGACTTTTTCACTATCTTGCAAGAACATTTTTTTTAAACTGAAAAATATCGAAAGACCAAGAAACAGTAAAAAAAAAATTATCCTCCTCTTATTAAAATAATTTATTTTGGAAAGAGAGAATTCTCTATAAGCAAGACTTTGCTCACACAAAATGTCTCACATGTAAATGACAAACAAAAAGAACTTATAGTACTGGACTATTTAGTACTTCTTGTAAGGGATAGAATTCAACTTTATAAAGTTGATTTGTTAATGCCAGTTCTGCCTAAACCAGCTTTAAGTGGACTTTTCTGTGAAATTTCATGGAAGACAAGGTTACATGTGCGCTTCTTAACACAACTGAGGAACAAGAATATTCCTCTGCATTCATACCCTTTGGATTTCCTAGAGATATTGGGACAGCCACTGTAGAAACCAACTAAACCGGCCTTGGTCTGGCCAAGCACTGCTCTTTTGAGGTCCTGATTACAGGTTTAGTTTAATACTGTAAATCAGTTAAGTCTGAAGTCTGCTCTAAAAATATATCTCCTCTTCACTGTAAAATTTATAGCTTCTCTTTTAAATTTTTATGTTTCCAGCTAAATAAGGTAGGGTTTGCTTTCTCTACGGTATTTAATTTTGTTTGGACAGCATTTATATCTCGAAGCTGCAGGTTATAGGCACATCATTTGGAAACTAGTACTATATCACTGAAATAGCATTGATTCATTGGGAGTAAATGCTAAAGTGAAAGACTATTTATCTTGACAGATGATCTGAAAATATTTAAGCAACAATTGCTCCGAGAATAGGAAACTTCACATCCTTCTCTCCCTTCAAATGTATGCCACTGACTCTCTTGACCAAATCACTACAACTGGGGGGAACTGAGGGAGTTTTAAGGAAGCATAATTTCCTCCTGCCCTTTTCGCCAAATAGATAGGACTTTTGCCAATAGAAGCAGCAGTTGAATTTCAGTTTTCTTTCTGAAAGCAACCTTTTTCTCACAGCTTGCATGGAGAATATCTATAGCACCATGACTGAGCCTATGGTATAAAAGGCTGATTGTACATTCCATGTTAACTCAGCACCAAATTTAACAACAGAAGAAGAACAGATCAACAACCCCCCCCCCCCAAATGTGGCTTGTGATAATTTATCCATGGCTAAGAAGTCTGCACTGGGCCAATGTGTTTATGTTTTAAACTTTTATCAATAATTGCAAGAAGTTACAGAAAACCAGACAAAAGCTGGCAAAAATTCAGAAAGTTTCTAATAGCTGATGCAAAAAAAGAAATGTTGAGATGGCCCAGAAATAGTTATTCAGCAGAGGCCAAAGAACTGTTCAGAAGGAGCAGTTTCAGGAAAAGAGGAGTAATTCTTTGAGCAATTGTTGGGCAAATGAAAACCTGAAGCTACTCTATCATAGACCTTCAAAAAGTAATATCAATATTTCAATTTCCTGAAGATTCCAAGCCTGATATCCTTGGCTAATACATTAATTTATCATTTCAGGAAACTGAGATATTTTATGTATGTTTCCTGCCACATAAACAGGTCGAAATTAAGCAGATTTCCCTCAGGAGAAACAAAGTTGACATTGCAGCTATAATTAAAAGAATAGTACCCACTAAACTTTACTCCATGCAGGTCCCTCAAATCAGGGCTTAAACTGAGAAGTAGTATCAGCCTCTCCTCCCTATATTTTAAGTATATCTTTTAACATGTAACAATAATAGGAAAAAAAGTTTTCCCTCAAACATAAAAAGCTTTAGTACTTTAGTACTAAAATCCAGGATCAATTGTAGTGCAGTGGTCTCCTAGATTACCAGTTTACTGCACATCATCAGAATGCCCAACTTACACAAAATTTATTGCTCATCTTCCATTGATATCAAATGTGGATACATTAGTGTCTTTCCACAATATCTTCTCGCTCCTACACAGCCAAATTTTGAATGTTTCCGATTATAATCCATATATACTAGAACTAGACTATTTTGCTAGCTTAAAACAGACTTACAGCATATTGTGTTTGCAGCAAAGAGCTAGATCATGGGAGGAAGACAAGGAAAGCAAATCTTGACCCAATTCTTCCTGTGAAACTCACATATTCAGATGCAGCGTGAGACCTGTGGACCATTCACTAGGAAAACCACCGATAGCTCTGACACCTAACATTCCAGCATTCTAATAATAATAATAGACTGCCAATGTCTATTATACAAAGAGCTATGAATGATTAAAACAGCACAAAAGTATTGACATCCAATATTTTATTTATGTATTTGTGCAATAAATCCCAGTAGGTCTAGGCAGTTCACAAATATTAAAGTAACAATGGTACATTACATGCAATCATTAAAATGGAAATAATACAAACATAGGCACAGTCAATCCTCAAAAGACTTCAAAAAAGGGCAGGGTTTTCAGCCTCAGAAATGCTATCAATAAGAAGGGAGCTGCATGAAAAGCAATTTTACATAACCAGACTCTAAGCCAGGGGTAGTCAACCTTGGCTCTTTTATGACTCGTGGACTTCAACTCCCAGAATTCCTGAGCCAGCTGTGCTGGCTCAGGAATTCTGGGAATTGAAGTCCACGAGTCATAAAAGAGCCAAGGTTGACTACCCCTGATCTAAGCCCTATAGGACCATAAAGACAATAGCTAGCATCTTGAATTACATTTATACTGGCAATCAGCATAGCTCCTCTGCAGCAGTGGTTTATCAGGGCAGTAGAATACCTATTGTATACTACACTAGCTGAAATTTTTGGGTGGTCCTCTGAAGCAGACCCAAGTAGCATACATTACAGCAATCAAAATGGAAGATGGTAAGAGTATGAATGACTGTCCTCAGGGCATCCCATTCCAGGTGTGCTCTCAAAGGAGAGCCACTGTATTTGCATACTTGTTGAGTAGACGTGAGAGCTTGACCTCTGAGACAGCACAACCCTATAAAGAGTGAAGAATAATATTATCCTGGAATCAGGAGATTTCTAAATTAATAGCCACTCCATTTTGCTTGGATAGAATCTGAGCCTACTTTTTCCCACCGAGATATTGACAATCACTGGGCACTGAGATGGGATTTCTACCACATCTCATATTGGGT